CAGAAGAAACTGAACCAGGCCTGAGGCCGCGGGCCCCGCCGCTCCCGCGCGCCCCCTCGCCGCGCGCCCCTTCGCCTTGCCCGCGCGGGGCCTCCAGCCTGAGCCAGGCTCCTCCGCAGAGCCCGGTGCCGGTGAGCAGTGCCTACAGCGGCTCCAAGTGTACGGGAGACTTGGGAGTGGGGCTGGGGTCTGGGGCAGCTCACAGGAGGTGGCTTGCTCCCAGGGACACAGAAGGGGAGGGAGCTTTGTTTTCCCCAGTAACTTGCTCTGGTGCCTTAGCTCAGTTCATTGCCTGTGTTTGCTGTGAATTACTTACCACGTGCAGTGTCGCTGCATTCAACTTAAAGTGTAAATACTGGGGAAAGCGAAAGGAAAAAAGAAAGAGTGGACCGAGGTGTCTCTGCCACCCTTTCCCCGTCTCATCAGTCTTTTCAGCAATGCCCTTGTTAGCACCGTAGTCCTTGCATCCGTGTTTTGCACTCTCCAGTCTGAGTCCCTGGCTGATCCGCAGCCTGGCAGAGTGGAAAGGGGACGGGCCTGGAAGTCAGGAACCTTGCATCTGGTCCTGGCTTTTCATCGGGGCTGTGCAGGCGCTCGGGGTGTCCGTTTTCTTACCAGTAACACCAGGTCTTGTAGTTCATGGTTTAGCTCGACAATAGGATAAGGTGAAGTGAATGATTATTTCTCTCTCTCTTTTTTTCTCTTTCTGTTCCCAACAGCTTGACGAAGATGGATAGAAATCATCTGTCCTTAAACTTTATGAATCAATTTTATTTTTAAAATAAAATGTTAAACATCTTTGAAACTTTCATTAAATTAAAAGGACGAGGGGTATCTTGCCTGCCCTGCAGTTCACTGCATCAAGAGATCTGCATGCTCAAAACTGATCTATTAGCATTTTTAATCAGATGCCTTGTTTCTTAAGGAATCTATGCTAGTTCCTGGGTACAACTGCAAAGCAGAGTTGGCCTGGCCACGGTTATGGGTTCTTTTGGTCAGGTTTTTTTTGTTTGTTTGTTTGTTTTACTGAACCTGATGAGGAAAGCAAGAGGCTGTGTAGAAATAACTGGGGTAAGAGTGTTGTCTATAAGACATTTGCACTTTCAGGAGCAGGGAATGTGCATGTGAAGGAGAAACCCTCTTGAATAGAGCTTAGTGATAAATCTCCACTATATCTAAAAATCAAGAGCGAGAGACCAAGTCCCTGGTTATTGTGGATTTGCAAGAGGTGTTTTCTAGAACACTGCCCTTGCTTGTTCCTGTAAAGATTAATTTTTTGTCTTAGCCAATTTAATAGCAGCTGTAGGTTAACTCCAAGAAATTCAGAAAAGTTGTTTCCACAGAAAGCTTTATTTTATCCGTTTCACTGGAGCCATTATGCTCTGTTAGTTCCAGCCTTATGTTCATTCTGTGAATACAGCACTCAAGGACTGGCATGCAGGTGCTGAGCTCTGTCCCATCTGGGCTGCAGGTTGCTGAAGTATCCTAGCTGCCATTGCTCATTCCACATTACCAAGAGGCTCCAGAGCTGAGGCTCTTTGAGACAAGGCAGGTTTCTTAAGGCGCGTGGTGCTCCCTGGCGTTTCCCATTACAGTGTACTTACATGGAGCCCCCTGACACACTCACCTCCCTCTCCTGTCTCACCTCAGGGCATGTACTGCTCACCCCCAAGTCCTATCCAGGTGCTTATGTGGTTTCAGCCACCCCATGCCATTCCTAATCGTTTCTCGTTTTCTGCTTCCTGCCTCTTCGCACTGGCCCTGTGTCCCCAGCTCTGTGGTGGGCAATTCCCTTTGACATTGGTTCTGTCACCATTTCTCCTCTAGCCATCTACCCCTTGCCCTACATAAATATGTGTTGGTTTTTCCCTAAAAACATTGTCTCATGTGGAGATGTGACTTTTTCCATGGTAGCAAAATTGGCAATGGAAAGGTTGGGAGATAGGTTATGATGCCAGTCATATACCTTGGAAATAACAAACTGTTCACTCATGGAAATACATGTTTCAGCAACTGCCCCACCCCTCCCCCCTAGTAATTTCAATGATGATGCTATGCTGTTCCAGGACTCACAGGAATAAATGCTTGTAATTCTGAATATGGAACAAAAATATGTAAAATTGAAGTCATATTTCTACCTGAGGTGAACAAGTGTAATATACTTTTTTCATCCTTCTCACTGCTCATACTTACACATATATGTAGGGGGGGTATTTTTTCCTTCAACATAGAGTTAAATTTTATTCATTTCCATTTAAAATAAGCACATCCCTTACCCAGCCAGCATGGCTCAGTGGTTGAGGTCGACCTATGAACCTGGAGGTCACAGTTCGATTCCTGGTCAGGGCAAATGCCCAGGCTGCCA